ATACAAATATCTACCAAGACTATCAGCATTTTCTCAAATCTTCGTGTTTTCATAGCTCTGTTTCAAACCGACATGAGAATTGTTCTAGAACAGTAATTTCCAGTCGATCAATTTATTTGTCAAGTAGCATACACGTCCAACTTATTGAAAAATAGGTGGGCAACTGGAAATTACTGGTACTGGAACGGTTCTCATGTCGATTGGAACAGAGCTATGAAATCACAAAGATGTCACTCCGCTGTATAAAAAGGGTGACAACTTTGAGACAGAACTCGAATTTAAGGGGTGGTAGTTCAGTGGCGAATTGGGAACAAAAAGAATTCTAAGACAGATTTCGGTTTTATTGCGTATAAATACAGCTGAAATAAATGTTCCAGTAAAATATAGAAAATAATATCAGACATATAGGTAATTTACCTGACACTACGTAAACTAAGTATATCTAATAAAGGATTTACACAATATTAATATAATTTTGTCACGAAAAGATGCCAGCCGTAGTACACGTAAGAATTGATGATATTTCGAGTGTCGACCCAAATCGATACAATTTGTTCTGGTTGTTGATCCGAAATCGCACTAACAAAAATTCCAACAAAAACTAAAGAATGTGTACCAGTTTGGGAACCCAGTTGGTACCAGATTTTGACAATCTGGTCTGGTGAACCTTGAACATTATGTTTCATCTACCCCCCAAGCTCTCGGGCTTCCATAAATTTTGGAACGCAGGAGCTTCATTTCGCTTATCCACTCGGTGGAACATCTCCGCATATGACTGACATGAAAGGTGCCTCGCACAGCTTCAGAATCCGGATTTTCCAAAACATACGTGGCAAAACTGACCTGTTTCTTAACCCTAAAAGGTCCAGTGAAAAGCAGTAACATTTTTGTAGGACCGCGTTTCTGCGCAACAAAACAAGGTCCCCAGTTCTGAAAGGCTCATAGGGACGTGACGCATATCGGGCCGCTCGACGCGCAGCCCTGCTTTGAAGTGCTTCTTTTGTCAATATTAGCTTTTGGTCATGGTCATGTGATATTTCTCCGTGCTCCGCTTTCTGAGGTCGGAGTTTAGATGGTAGCAAGAACTCTGCAGGTTTATTAAAATATAGTTCCACAGGAGTGAATCCGGTTGATTCGTGAACCACGTTATTCAAAAAATGCTCAAAGTTGTTAATTCCATACGCCCACCGTGTATTCTTCGAGTGGCAATATACGCGACACAACCGGCCCAACTCTTTCATTATACGTTCCGAGTAATTGGCCTGAGGATGCGAGACGTCGATGTCTAATGACGTTAGCGTGGTTTTCCATGACTTCGCGGTAAACTGGGGCCCCACGTTGGGCGCCAAGATGAGATAGAACTCGAATTTAAGGGGTGGTGGTTCAGTGGCGAATTGGGAACAAAAAGAATTCCAAGACAGATTTCGGTTTTATTGCGTATAAATACAGCTGAAATAAATGTTCCAGTCAAATATAGAAAATAATATCAGACATATAATTTACCTGTCACTACGTTAACTATATCCAATAAAAGATTTACACAATATTAATATAATTTCGATACGAAAAGATGCCAGCCGAGTGTCGACCTAAATCGATGCAATTTGTTCCGGTTTTTAGTCCGAACAAATCGCATAAAAAAAAACTCCAACAAAAACTAAAGGATGTGTACCAGTTCGGGAACCCAGTTGGTACTAGATTTTGACAATCTGGTCTGGTGAACCTTGGACATTATGTTTCAAATTCAATCCAGAGATTTTTAGACCAATTAGCCTCACTTGTGGTTTATGTAGTAAGACAATGGAAAAACCAATTGCTAGAGAATTGACATCCTTTCTATTGGAGAACAATGTTATACCAACCAGTCAGCATGGTTTCCTACCACAAAGATCAACAGTTACAAATCTGTACCTCAGAGGTAAATTGTATTAAGTCATAATATTATAATTTAATATACTGACACTAAGTGATTCTAGTAAAATTTACCTTTTAGCCTGGTGAGTCACTTGACACAGGTTCCAACTGGGTATTTCGGTTGTCTTAATGTGCGTAGCGTTGTTCCTCAAGGTTCTGTGTTCGGGCCATTACTGTTCATAACCTATATTATCATCTAAGGTAACATCGTCGATAGCGTACTTTGCTGACGACACTTAATTGTTCGGCAACCCTGTGCAACATAAGATTGGAGAAGACTTAGGAGTAATACATAAATGGACTAGAAAATGGATGAAGCGCCTTGACTCCAACAAGTGTACAGTTCTTCATCTGGGGAAAAACAATCTCATACTCGGTATCAGTCTGAAGATTCTTTGATACAAAGTATGGAACAACAAAATGATCTTGGAATTTTGGTCAGTGATGATTTAAAGTGGGAACTTCACATTGCAAATATTGCTAAAAAGGCAAATACACTCATTTACAACGAGTATTCTGTAATACCTCAGTAGAAATGGTATCTAAACTGTATAAAACCTATTTTCGTCCCAAAATAGAGTATGCCTGTTCGTGTGGAGTCCATCCAGAGAGATTAGAAAATATTTCAAATATCATCTCTAAAAGAAAGACGAGAACGTGAGGACATGATCCAGGTTTTCAAAACTCTTTCAGGCTACTATACCCCACTAATTGAGCTATCATTATTCCATCTCAACGGAGAAGGGAATTGCAAGGACCTTCAAAAAAAAATAAACAAGGAAAAGAGCCACCTGCTGATCAGAAAAAACTTTATAACAAATCGGGTGGTATATAAGTGGAACTCGCTTGAGGAAGAAACAGTGACAGCTCCAAGTGTAAACACTATCAGAATTTTCTCAAATCTTCGTGTTTTCACAGCACTGTAATAAGCGGTAGCTCTGTTCCAACCGACATTAGAACCGTTCTAGAACGGTAATTTCCAGTCGATCAATTCATTTGTCAAGTAGGATAAATATTCAACTTATTGGAATTTAGGTGGGCAACTGGAAATTACTGATACTGGAACGGTTCTCACGTCGGTTGGAACAGAGCTGCATCATTATCCCAAATTTCTTTTTGAACACTCAAATTTAATATGAGTGATTTTATTTTACATGCATTCTTCACAAACATAATCCGCTTGAAACCACCAATTATGTCTTCTCAAAACAGAGAAACGAAGGTAGGTATGTTCCGCCACTGTCCGATAAATATTACCAGAGAAGACTGAAGAGGTAAAAGGGGGGGACAAAACGTGTAACACGGTATACCAAGTGGGTGGAGACCGCTCGTCCAGTCAGCAAGAATGGTGAGAAATGGACGAGTCTTTGATGAGACGTCTCGTTTCTCTCTGCTTGGGTGTTTATCATCTTTATTTTTCCTTCTTGATGGTAATAATGGGTACGGGTGCCTTCCGAAACGACCATGTTCTTTGACTGGGTGGTTTACCTGCATACCTTTTATTGCACATGAGGGATCAGGGCCGCTCGACATGAATAAGAATTTTTAATTATTCTATACATGATAAGTCTATGGCACCTTACACGGAGAGGAATTTTTGATTAATCTATATCAGACGACAAGGTCTTACAATTGCTTTTTTAAAAAAAAATGACTTCCTATATTAAATTTGTAAATTAGTAGGTACCAAGTATCGTACTCAACTATCCGTAACTAATTACTACAGAGGGCTTTAATTAACAATAACAACAAGCATTTTGCAAGAATAAACAAAACAAACCATTGGAAAATAGTTTAAAAAAATCAATTCTGCTCTGCTGTGACAAAATTCTTTTGGTCGCTTTTATAAATAGGAAGAACACACCTGAAATACATTATAAATTTTATTATTCACAAATATCATAAAGTGTTACATCAAATATCGCTTTCCAGGAAGCTGATAGTTAAGCTGTAAAGATGATTCTCTTTGGTGTAATAAAAAAATGTCGCCCCAAATTCCTTCATGACGAATACAGTTTCTTATCTCATTTGAATTTTGTCAGTGAAGGAATAGATAATTATTACTTATCTTTTTCAACTGATATTTTGTCATTAATGTCCCTCGAATATAAAAATAGACCCAGCATTAAATCTCATTGTATTATTTGCACAATAAAAAATTCAATTATTATTATTGTTGCCAATTGCTCTTGCCATTGAACAAGCTTTTCTAGGGGTCCATCTAAATTTGTTTCAATTCGAGAATGAATTTTCAGCAACTCTTCAACAATAATTTAAGAAACGGAGCTCATTTACCCCAGCCATCCCTCCCCGAGTTTAAAGATATAACAGCACACATTGTAACAATAATTATTATTATTATTATGTAGGAAGCTCCAGCATTCTTTTATCAGGCTCCGCAAGACGTGAATAACAATTAAATTGAAATTATTGATCTAAATTAAAATTAGGTCAACAATGTTAACTGCAGGGGTCAAGTTTCGTAACAGTTTACATTAATTGAATACGATGTATTAAAATTGAGACAGATGAACGTCTCTAATTAGTACTCGGGAATATGTGACGAACATGAGTTTATTGAAAAATGCCAAAAAAATGGGGGGTTTATAATTTATTCTGACCGGTTATTATTTGTTAATTGGTGGGAAAAAATTAGTCAAGTGAAAGCTTGATTAATTGATACCCCTGGGATCTTGTTAATTTAATTATTCAAGACGATTTGATTTTGCTTAGATGAGAATATGTATCAAGTTTCGGTTAAAGCGTGTCACTTTTAATTATCCCTAAACAGATAATATTTAAATTAATCTTTAATAATTATTATAGAGGACCCTGCACACTTCCTATGGAATTTCTGACTGCGGTCGAATTTAACTAAATTTTTGTATGTTATAGATTTCACCTTTCTGATCAATAATTACCACCATGGGCACAACTTAATCCTAGTTTTTGAGATACAGGTAGTTTAATGTCCAAGAAATGTACAATATTTTATATGCTCATACCAAACATACCAAAATTTGGTTAAATTTTACCGGGGTCAGAAATCCCATAAGAAATGTGGGGTGTTCAAGTGAGAAATCGACTAAATAATAAAAAAAATATATTTAAAAATCAATCATTGCACATACAAAATAATTATTACAGCATTAAATAAGTTTTATAGTATCATGGGTAGCAACATAGTACCCCCATATAAGTAACACAATCAAACTTTTTAAAAAAAATCCCATTTACCAAGCCAGTTACATTCTTATTTGGAACCGTCCCGCTTTGGTCATATATTTCACTCCTTTAAAAGGCTTGTATTTCTCTCCGTACATGTCCAGTCTGTTCACCTTAAGTCCGCTTACTGCCAACTGGCTAATTGTAAAGTGGACATTTATCGAAGGATTGATCTCTGCTGTATTGGTGCCACTCGCAATTGAAACCTAAAAAAAACAGCATAAACAATTGAACTTTTCCCACAATCAAAAAACCCTTACTGATCCTCTTATATTTGGTAATTTAGTAACATCAATTTTCCCAATATCCCAATGCAATATTTTAGAAACAGGATCGAAATTATATTTGCCTTGATTCGAAGTTAAAACGCAATTTAAAATGCACTTGGGCATCAGTACTTCGATTTTAACTCCCTCTATAGTTCTGCCTAAAGTTTGTTTTGGTCCAACGGTCAAATCTAGCCTTGCTTGTTCTCCAGTTTTGATGGACAAATTGTGACGCACGTAAACAGGAATAGCCACACTGCTTTGGGTGTTGATGTGGTAGGAAACTAATCTGAAATTACCATCGGGGGGTATAAAAGACAATACTCGTTCGCCTTCCCATCTTTTGAAACGGACACAGGGATGAAAGCTGACATCATCGAATAATCTGGGATTCATAAAGGACAGTGTCAAGTCTGGCATTCCACTTAATTTAATGCAGCAATCGATCTAGAAGTTTTGTTTTTTTTTTATACAATTGATTGCAAATGAAATTCTTACATATCCTTGTATTTCAGCAAAAACTGTCGCTCCAGATTTATCGATAATAGCATCGACTTCTTCAATTACATCGAAATAGGCTTCGTTATTAGTGTATTTGACTCCGGTTCTTCTCCATGGAATGTTGGATAGTTGGCCTGACGGTAAAACTTCACTCATACTAAAAATAATAAAGTTTAGAATAGTGTCTTTATTGTACAGGGTGGGCCAATTTAGATGCTTGTAAAAGGAGTGAGATACACAAAAATTAACCCCTCCACTCTGAGGCTCGTATTGCTCAAAATTGAGAAACGTCCTTTAGTGGCAAACAGATATCAGAATGCAGTTTGCACCAATGAAGATCCAGAAAAATGGAGCAATAATTTACAGGGACTTAAAATGTAAGAGCAGGTTGCAGAGTATTTTGCACAGCAATTCCAGAGTATTTTGACTAAAGTTGAATCCTACTCCAGAACAGAAATCAACACCATAAATTCCACCCCAAAAAAGGTAGAGATCGTCATTAAGTTAAGATCCCTCCTATATTTCTTAAAAATTGTTTGCACACTCTAAAGGAGCTTCTGGCAGCACTTATGAATGACATACATATATCCACAGGAGATTTTCCACTACCTTGGAAAAAAGCAGTTGTTAGACCCATATTCAAAAAGCTAGTAGAAAAACTACAGACCAGTCAGCCTGAGCAGCGCCTTATGTAAATGTTACATACAAACATTATTGCTTAGGAACTCACAAGCTTTTTCCTCGAAGCTCATATTGTACCACCCCAACAACATTGGTTTTCTCTCCAAAAAATCTACTTTCACGAATGTCCTAACCAGACCCAATATGTGGACAAAGGCGGATAATGAGAATGAGCCAAGTGATGTTTCCTTGACTTTGATATGATAGAGATACCAATAATATATCAAGTTAGAACAGGAATGTCAATCTCAGTTGAATACTCTGTACACAGCGGTTTATCCCAAGGCTCAGTCTTGGGACCCTGCTTATCTAGGCGTATTTGTGTGACTTATACCAAAAACTGAAAACCAAATATGAATCGTTTGCAGATGCAGATCCTGCAATCTTCTACTACACTTTGCAGACCTCCAGGATGACCCTTACACCATCAAAAACTAAATAATGTCTTGGAAAATGTCATTTGAATGACCTCAAGTGTCACAGTTTTACATATCGGCCAGAATAATCAAGAACATGATTACCTCCTCCAACAAACGTCAGCAACAAAGACCTAGGAATAATAATCACATCAGACTTGAAATGGGAACAAAACATCACTGAAATGAAAAATGCTGATTCACTAATCCACTTCATTCAAAAATCTAACCTAATTACATTAAAAGACAGAAGAACAAGGAGAGACTTTACTGAAACAAAATACTGAATGGTCACTATGCACATGTAAACTTCCACGCTACTAACGCCACCAATACCAGAAACTTGAAAAGGAAAGATGTAACAGGTTACTAAGAAGAAATAACCTTAGGCACACGGTCTGTATCCGGTTATTCCCTTAGAAAGACAAAGCATAGCCCCAAAGAATAAGCTATGAGATACCGAATAATAATAATAATAATAATAATAATAATAATAATAATAATAATAATAATAATAATAATCTTAAGTCCTTCCACATTTCAAATTCAAAAAAGTATTCCTGACCAACTGCCTTTCATAAAGAAGTGAATCATAGAAGATTGATTTTTAATAATAATGGCCTAGGTGATAGCAACGGAGTGCATAGAGTAATACAAGTTTGAGATGGGATGTCCAGGTAGGGTGAGTATTTCTGCCCTTCTGCTTCGTAACCTGTATGGATGTGTGTCAAGACAGACCCTCAAGACTGCCTACTACACGCTGTTCCATTCACTGATGTCATATGGTATTATTGCTTGGGCCAGTGCATCTTTGGCGGCTAGAATTTTTGGAATTCCAGCGTAAAGCTGTAGTGCTTAAATTAAGGTATAGAGATAACTGCAGGTTCGCTTTCAGTAAAAGGATTCTGACTTTTTCATCAGAATTTGTTGTTGAGTGCATTATCTACATAAAAATGAACGAGGGCGAATTCCATATTCCACTCTGACCTTCATGACTCCATGAACATTAAACAAGAAATCTTAATAATCTGATTCTTAAATTTTTATGTAGCTAAACAGATAATAGATTTCAACATCAGAATTAGAAACGATCAACAATCACTTCTTGATTTATTACTGAAAAGCGATAGGAAATTATTTACACCAGCTTACCGTTCAAATCCAATTGGTCGCAGTGATCACGTTGTAGTGAACGTTGTAGCGCAGATAAACACAAAACCAAGTGCAATGAAGAAAATCACGACAATATAAACAAAAACATATCTGAAACGAAGTTTCCAAACACATAGACACATAGCAAATATAAACACCATCATACATGCCATGCGAAATACTAGAATAAACCCTCACCACTTCAAAGAAATTCAAAAAAAGAGGAATCTCTGGAATAAGTACCAAAATCTCAAAACCTCCCAGTCTTACCAGGAATATAGAACTCAAAATAACCTACTGAGAAATATGCTGTGACAAGTAAAGCAACAATATGAACACGGTTGGTTCACAAGATCTGATAAACAATTCTATACCTACATATAAGGAACACTCAATTCAAACTCTTCATGTATTGTTCTAAAAGGCCAGGATACCAGATATATAATTGGAAATTTAAAGCAGACTTCAGAAACCTTGGCGAATCAATTTGAGAAAGCCTTCACCAGAGAAACAGTGCAAAATTTCCCAAGACTAAGAAGTGAACGTTCAGTTGCCCAAATAACATCAGTCAAATTTAAGCCAGAAGAGATTTGCAAAGTTACAAGAAACCTTAAAATAGACTCCAGGCCCGGTTCTGCCAACATTCCAGCCATATTTTTGAATAAAACAGCATCCAGTATAAGTGAACCACTCTCATCGACAATGAACAATCTAATGGAGAATAAAAGAGTGCCAAACGAGTGGACTAAGGCAATTATAACAACCCTGGAATTCAGCGTCCCATAAGTTTAATATACACTTTATGTAAATCAATGGAGAGGGGCGTGGCCAATAAAATCAAGGATTTTGTTCTGGAAAATGACGTTATTCCTGTAGACCAACATGGATTTCTACCAGGACGATCCACCTCCACAAACCTACTTTCGTGTTTAAATAAGTGGATAATGGAGTGGCTGTTGATGTTGTTTATCTTACTTTGAGAAGGCGTTCAATAGGGTTCCAATTCAAAGACTTTTATGTAAGCTTGACCACCTTGGTGTAAGTGGTAACTTACTGCGATGGATCTTCAGTTACTTGCAAGGCAGAACTTGTGAACTGACTTAAAATGAGAGCATCACATTGTATGCATGACTAAAAAAGCTAACATCCTAGTGTGCTCAATGAAGAGAGCTTTTAGTGACCACTCTGTGGAAATGATAAAAAACCTTTATAAAACCTTTGTGCGTCCTAAGCTGGAATATGCCCATGCTGTGTGGAGCCCCTACTATATGGAAGACATAGATACGAGTCCAAAGGAGAATCACCAAGATACCTCCAGAAGTGAGCCACCTACCATGCTGTGAACACCTTGAAATATTCGGACTAAGTAGGTACATTAAGAGAAAGGCGAGAAAGAGGTGATCTCATTGAAACCTTCAAAGTACTAAGGGGTTATTTTAGCCCAAAAATCGATCTGGCATTCTTTCAAATTTCCTACTATGCAACCACTCAAAAACTACGCAACCACTCAAAAAAACTCAACAAAGAAAAATCCGCTCTGCTTTTGAGAAAGAAAAAACTTTTTGAGCAATAGAGTTGTATACAGATGGAACAGCCTCCAGGAATCTACAGTAAATGCACCAACTGTCAACGCCGTCAAGCACTGGATAAAGAAATGGACAACTTAAGAAATCAACTTGCCCACTGCATGTAACCTTAATCCCTAATGCCTTAATATCGCCACAGTGTATAAAGATAATGTAACTGAACTCACACATACAAAAAAAAAACATTACTTATATAACTTCAATAGGCTTATCGGTTTAGACCGCTTTATATTGCTCACAATAAGAATAAAAATAATAATCCAGATTTTCAATTGATATTTGTCAATCTGTGGTCACTATGGCAGGAATGAGTTTTTTAATAAAAATTTTTCCAAAAGGCAGTTGATAACTTTTTCTGCATGAATGGGTTTTTAACACAAAAAGTCCACTGGGTTTTTGTCAATATTGATGGTGGATTCTTTGGGTTTTTCAAATGGGTTTTAGTGTATGCCTATCCTGGAGGGATTCAGGAAAATCTAGGGAAGTTCAGGGAAATCTGAGAGAAATCTTACTGAGTGAGACTGTGTGCGTGTTCAGAATTTGATTTTCTATTGATTGAGAATAATGTCAAGCCAAAAAATCTCACCCTTTACAACATTATTATTTCAATACGAAATAACCAAAGTTCATTGACAAGTAATGTCCCAAATTTGGTTGGGCAATACGGATGTAGTATTGAATAAAGCAAATGCATCAAAATGTTGGCAAAAAAGCTTAGAGCCAAGGACCTAGGTTTTAGGCCAACGATTTTTGCTGACATTTCTGAATCGATTTGGATCGATAAGGCGTCAATTTTAGTCAGTTGTAACTCTAAATTCGGGAAGCATATAGAGTTCCCCAAAAAAAAAAGGGAAATAATAGACAGTCACATATTGGAAATGGCTAAATACAATGTAATTAGACTAAGCCATTCTCCTTGGGCCAGCCCTGTAGTACTAGTTAAAAAGAAATCGGGAGAAACTAGATTTTGTGTTGATTACAGGTGCCTAAATGCTGTAACCAAAAAATCAAGCTATAGTATTCCTAACATAGACGATATTCTTACATATTTAAGAAAGGCGCAATATTTTTCATCGTTGGACATGTTTTCTGGATTCTGGCAAGTAAAAATTCAGGAAGAATCCAAGCCACTTATGGCATTTCAAGCACCAGGACATGGTCTATGGCAGTTCAATTTTATGAGTTTTGGATTATGCAATGCTCCAGCCACATTCCAGCAATTGGCAGACACCGTTTTCCAAGACCTCAAATGGCGGGAAGTTTTAATATGATGATATCATATTTTCCGACACTATCGAGGAAGACCTGCATAAATTGAGAAAAGTTTTCACAAGACTTGGATGCAGGATTGACCCTAAAACCTTCAAAATGCGAGTATATAAAGGAGGAAATAAACTTGCTTGAGTACAAAATCTCCAAACATGGTATCTTACCTGATGACAGCAAGCTTGTATCAATAAAAAAATTCCCAGTACCCAAATCGGTCAAGAAGTTCAAAGTTTCATCGGACTGTGTAATTTATTTATTTATTTTCACTTCCAACGGGCAGCGGCCCAATTTTACAAATATTGCCACAATAATAATATTAATACTAATAACAAACCACATATAAATAAAAATTTTAAAAAGAGTACAATAAATTATTTCTAAATTAAAAAATTGAAAGGACAACAAAAAACAGCCAAAAACAGATCACAGGGTAAATCACTAGATTACAAAACAATATCACAGTGATAGCTTCATTTGGCGCAAAGACGCAGCAAACATGTTCACCTGTATCTCATTGGCATAAGACATAGCCCGATTAATGGTTGTGTGTTGGCCATAAGAGGTACGATGTCTCTCCAACGAAAAACAGCGCACAGCTCTAAAATTCCTCACTGGGACATTCAAGTTTACAGCCGAGAGCAACTCAGGGCAATTCAGATAACCTCTGAGCAACTTAAAAATCAACAACTGATCAAATTTTCTACGCCTATGCTCCAATGTTTCCAATGACAAATTCTGCAAAAGCTGACCATGATCAATAAAATCTGAAGGTATTCCCATTTTGTACCCTATGTATCTCAAGAATTTTCTCTGTACACGTTCAACTAATTCAACATAAATTTTATAATGTGGTGACCACACACAGCTATTATTTTCAAGATGGGAACGAACCAAAGACACATACAAACACTTGAGAGCAGAAACATTCTTAAAGTCTCTTGTGTGTCTTTTGATAAAACCCAACCCATTATTATAGGAAATTTATAGAAAATTTTCCGAAATTAGCACGACCTCTTCATAAAATAACCAAAAAAGAAAAGAAATTCGACTGGAAGGAAGAACAGATGGAAGCTTTTAACTGCCTTGAAGAAAAACTCACCACCGCGCCAGTACTCAACCACTACAACCCAATGAAAGGGTGTGAATTGAGAACAGATGCTACATGGCATTGGAGCAGTTTTACTTCAAGAAGGAGATGATATGCAGCTTCACCCAGTAGCATACGCTAGTAGAAGTCTGACGAAAGCAGAAAAAAAATACACAATTACAGAACTGGAGGGCCTAGTTGCAATTTGGGCCTTAAGCTATCTTAGACATTTGATTTATGGAAAACCTGTAAAGATCATAACAGATCATCATGCCCTTTGCTGGCTCAAATCTCTGAAGGACCCAACATGCCGACTAGCTAGGTGGTCATTAAAGCTGTCAGAATTTGACTACGTAATAGTGCATAAAGAGCTGAATAACGCACAGAGACGCCGATTGCATCAGTCGCTACCCCGTACTGCAGCCTCAACCGGAAGAAAATCTCGAGGAAATACCTACATTTATATTAGAAGCTGACGATATTTTGAAATTACAGGATGAAGACGAAGATATACAACAAATAAGGGACGCTATAGAAAATCCCGACAACGCAACAGTTGGTTTGAGAAGGCAAATCAAAAATTTTAGACAAACAAAGTACTCTACAAAGTTAACTCAAGTCCTTATGGAAGAGAAGAACTTTTAGTCGTCCCAAAGAAACTGATCGGAGAGATAATTTACACCAATCATTCAGAGCCTTTAAGCGGGCATTTAGGAACAGCAAGGACGCTCAATAAAATAAGGCAAAGGTTCTATTGGGAAAAACTCCAGAAAGATGTAGAAAAATTTGTGAAGGGTGATATTTTTTGGCTTGACAATATTCAAGAGAAAATCATGTTATATACCTCATATTGTAATAAATGTAGCTTTGATATTGTCAAGAATGTAATAGATCAAGAGAAAATGCATGTGTTGTGGCGTTGTGTTAAACAGAAGACCTCAGGAGTTGTGTTCTGGCTGTGTACTTGTGCTGGTATTCTATGAAATCCCTGAAAAATAAGGGAGATCTAGCGAAATCTTGGGAGATTTGAGAAAATCTGAAGAAATCTTAGGGGCATGCCAGGTAATCTGTGGATAATATCGAGGATAATATATATATTGCATAAAGATATACAAACACTGGAATATGTTCTAACCCTCCTGAAATGAAATTTGAGCCTCAGAAAGGCAGGTTCATTTTCTCACTCAGAAAAGGACTTTTCTTATTAAAAGTGACCAAATTGCTCCACCCTGTACCGTTTTGCAGTTATCAAGTGACAAAACATTCTGATTAGATTCGTCACACTGTCAAGATGTTAAAAAAAAAAAAATCTTACTTTGTTTTCCCTGTTACTGTATTAGCAATAGTACGTAATATATTAGGAGGCTTTATTAGTTCTTTTAGGATATTGCTCTCAGTGGCCAATGGAAAGCCATTGTCAAGCATTTCATCTAGAAGCTACAAAGTAAAGTCAAGTAATTATTGCCCAAATAATAATTCATCTTTGATATGGAACTTACCTCGTATACTATGACATAGTTTTCTTTGATTATAGATTCTGTGCAGTCTGAGAAATAATCCTGAAAGTTGCTGATTTAATAAAGAACTTCTCAAAGCATTAATACATTACTTACTTGAAATGTATCTACAATCCTATGTAAAAATTCAATAACGAACAACGGAGGCATATCTTCCATACACACAGCCACGTAACTAACCCCTGATCGTTGGATGGATATTAAATAGTGATGTGGAGTAACTATTACGGGATTTATGTCTTTTATGTTGGCTCTTTGGGCTTCCAAGTAGTAGTCGCATACTGATCTTGATATAACGCTTTTCCAGTGTTTTTCCAGAAAGACATCTCTAGAAATCAAACAATGATTAATGAGGATTTTTAATACAATTCTCAATTAGAAACAGCAGCTTCAAAATATGGTAAAGCCAAATAATATGGATTTTTATAGGAAAATTTTAAAATTTTCTGGAGGAACTTACCCTTGCGAATTTATAATAAACAAACTGTGTATCATATTTATATTTGTTGATAATTAAATTATTTTATAATTAAAGAAACTATTTATTAAATTTGAAATTGAAAATATTTGGAATTGACCTCAAATTATGACATTTGCTTGTCATTCGTAAACGGACTAGTTTTATCTCTTTTCATACTTCGTATTTAAAGTGAGTGAAACATATTTGAGGAAAAAAAAGAAGAGCTCTTTCACCACCAGACAGGTACGACGCCTGCGTCATGCTATTGACATTTGTCATTAGAGGATTTGTTCATATGGCAACAAAAACCCTTCTTGGAGTGGAAAATGTGTGCGCATAAACCAAATTAAGACCCTACGCAAAATTGTTTGCTTGTTATTAGTGTTGTGGGAACAAGCTTCATTCATCTCCAAAATCGAAAGGGACAAAAGAGTTTCTAATCATTTTTTTATTTTAAACTTTTTTCACAGTTTGTTTCGTGCTTATGCTTAGAAAAAATGTTAGTTGTCTAATAATTCTCGCAGTCCGCGTCCATTTAAATTCGTCAAAGGTGCAATTCCACCGCTAGAAATTTCTGACCAGGTTATAAAGGGCAAAATACATAAACGATGGGCAATGAATCTGTGGTGGAATCAGAATCGGGCATGGAAAGCAGGAAAAACAGTTCGGATTCGGGAACGATGGAGTTCGAGAGTCCCCAAGCCCTTGACAATGTTAAGCAATTGGTCAAGCCCGAGAAAACTAACAAAAAACGAATATTGGATGGTAAATGTCAGTTATTTTTGCTTATTTTGCTTCTTAGTGCATTGTGCATGGGTTTTCCAGTTTTTGGTTGAGTATTTATTTTTTTTGGCTCCCTAACCTCAGCAGAAAGTGCACAAATATCGATATCAACTCTAGTATTAATTACTTTGAAAATAATGCAAAGTACTTGTCTTGCTTGGTTGAGGATTGAGTTACTACCGTAGTTATCTAATGTAGGTATAGAAGCTAGTAGAACAAATTCTAATTTTCTAAATTTGCTTTAGAACCTGTATCTACGTGTGAGCATTTCATTTGGGATATCTTTTAACTGTATGCAGGTATTCATAATAAGTTTGTTCGCACAGAAATCACAAACCATTCAGAGAGAATTTTATTGGTCGAGAACAGTCTAGTTTCCACATTCATTGGTTTTAGACCTAATACCTCCTCTTTTAAGAATAATAAATCAATGCATTAGAATGAGAGCGTACCCATCATGTCTGAAAATATCAAGACAAGAGTAATTCCAATTTTCAAAAAGGGTGAGAAAAATAATATGAACAATTACACATTAATTCCTGTTGTATCAAACATTTTTGAATCCCTCCTAAAATCACAGCTGTACCAATACTTTGAATCAAATAGTATTATCTCTACGGATTCACAATTTTTCTTCAGAATAAACCGAGGAATAAACAGATCAACTACAAAATAAGTATGTGGAGGGGGGCCTTCTTGAGGAGAGGGAATATGTAAGGATTACCTGCTCCATCCTTATGCAGGCCTTTTTTTAACTGTATTTCCCTCGGTATTTCCCATGAGCCTCATAGCCGAATAGCTATATAGCCTAAACCTATTAGAAAGCTATCTATATGGAAGGTACCAGCCAATGACGTATAGGCTTTTTACGTTATATTTAGGATGACGTCACATTTAGTAAATTTCTGCTGCCAACCTAACAAAACTAAAAGTACTTTTCAACGCATTTAAAGTAGGGCAATTTCAGATGTTTTTGGTTGGCAACGGCGCGCGACGTTGCATGATTTATATCTATTTATAAAAACATTTTCAAATAATGCGTGTCGATTCATTTCGGTTATTTTAAGCTGTCAGTCGTCTTGATAATTTATTATTAACTATTTTGTATAATCCTAATTAAGTGCCAAAAATACGTTACCTACACTTAGAAAAAAGTTCTCTCAAGAATTCAGCATGCGTATTCTGTATCGTCATAGAGAGGAAATTTCTTTCTATCAACTCTTTCTACCACTTTATCTTATTCTGTAAGCTGCTTTGGCGCCTGTCGTGTTTCACGAATGGTTCGTTCGGTAGAGAGGAATAGAAAGACCATTTAGGTCTTGCTTTGATATTTCTATTATCCCTGTCTCTTTTTAACACACTATCAAATTGGGTGATTGAATTATTTCAATAAGTGACATAAGTGTCAAGTGAATAAATTGCAAACAAAAAGTTAACAATACATTTTAGGGACGAACGAAATATCATGGGTAAGTTATATCTAAAATCAATTCCAAGGCTTTGGCATAATTGCTCAAATTATCATGTACGTAATGCAGACGATAAACGTGATTTCAAAACTCATCCTCAACAATGGAATACCATCGTCAATTTTGGAGAGGAACATCCAACAATTTTCAGGCCCCAATTTAAACATATGGATGGTGATGCTAGACAGAATGTAAAATTGTGGGAGGAATTGGTCGAAAAATTAAATTCCACGGGATTTCGTCTGAGAAGCGTTGACAAATGGAAAATGGTATCTTTTTATGTGACTCATATACCCTTTAGGTGTAATGTCACTCTATGAGTTAATAATTTCAAATATTGTTGTAGGCAATTGGCCGATGGAAGTCAAAAACAAAATCAAAAGCTGCCCAGTTAAGGGTCGAGGCACAGAAAACTGGTGATGGCCCATCAAACGCTGTTCCTTTAACAGAAACAGAGGAACGGCTAATGAATTTAATGGGTTAGAGATCAGTAACTGGGGATGGAAATGCAGAAATAGGAATGGTAATTACAACTATAACACTAAAAAAAGGGTTGATATCGATTAGTGCAAGTATTATTATATTCGAATTGGATAATTCTGTGTAGAATTGCAATAAAGATAAGGATTTACAAAATTATCAAAATGTTATTTACAGCGACCCATTACGGCCCACCTGCCTTTGCCACAACACTTGACAGGCCAAGAGATTGGATTGCCACCCCCAAAGGCACATCCTTCCAACAGCACCGGAACAAAAGGAGCTACCTGTTTGCCCAAATCTCCTCATTCTCCTCCACCATTGAAACCATTTAATCACCTACCATCACCAAGAACACACCCTTCCAGCATAGAAACAGACAGAGCTGCCCATTTGCCCAAGTCTTCTCGACCATTAACATCATCCAGTCGACCAGCCAGGAAACGCAGTCGGCAGTCTACTGAAAAGCCTGGGAAAGTGGTTTCCATGGCAAAAATGCATGAAGAGGCAATGGAAGAAAGAAGAAAACTAGATTAGCCCTAAAGCACATATTATGTAAAACACTAACTGCATTGATAATTTGGCCAGCTTTGAAGGGTTCATTATGTAAGACCCTGTCTTTCAATAGACAGCGAAATCGGTTTTTAAAAACTCCTGAAACAAATAAATTTCATCATTTAGTGCAAAAATATATAATACTTAACATTTTTTATAAAATACCTATACATCTTTCCACACAATTTCTGGCACTTGTCAAAGCTGCCGTATATCTACCTTCAGGAGCATCTCTGGGTATACCTTGGATAGGCGTCATAAGCCATGGCTCTTGTGGATATCCACTATCTCCAAGAAGCCACAAATTATGATCATCCTGATTATACATTTGTTCCAAATGTGTCCTTATATTGGAATTTCTCCAAATAAAGGCATCGTGAGTTGCTCCACCATAATTGGTTTTAACATTTAGTATCAATAGATTCGCGTCACATATCAATTGTACATTTTTGGAATGATATTGTTTTCTATTGAAATATAAGTTTTCATCTTCTCGTGGTGCAACAATGGCAATATGAGTGCCATCGATGCAGCCTATCACCCCTGGAAATCCAAACTGGGCCATGAACTCTTCTTTTTTTTCTTGCTTTTGGGCTTCATTCAAGGGAAATTTTACCCACCTATAGGCAATAGCCTCTAGAGCCAAAGACACCTCAGATAACGCTCGGCTAAAAGCAGGTTGTGATAAGGACACATGCATTTCATTTCCGCCTGCCTTCTGATATGAGCCCTGGGCAAAAAACCTTAGGGCACCTAAAATCCTTATATGGATAGGAACTTTTGTTGCTTTAGCTCCTGCATTCATATGAAGGGTAAGATCACGAATGAGATTTTGAACTAGCTGTCGACTTAGCCTGAAGCATTTCCGGAATTCTCGTTCGGGCAATTCAAAAGCATTTTGTTGGTCTCGCAAAAGTCTTCTCTCCAAACGAAATTGGTTTTGTCTTTCTTCATCTTCTGCTACCTGTAGCAAATAAAGGAATATTGGGTCCATACTTTATAACAAGGCCCCACTAAAAAACGAAAACTATGGGATCAGATATTAGGAATATTAGGTACCTATATGGTTTATAATAATCACAGAGACGTACCACTTGAACGTATCGAAAATCGAAAATGTTAGAATTCACAATGAAAGATACAAACTGTCACTTAATAATTCGCGAAGCTCCTAACATAAAAATGTAAACAAATATTGCCTTTGTTACCAGCGTAATCAAAAAAAAAACCCAAATTCCCTGATTACAGATCAATGTTTTTACATCAAATAATACACATTTCTCTATAGCCGAGCATACCCGATTGGGCATAGAAAAAATGGTACAGAATAAGTTCAAGAAATAGAAAGAAATTTCCTCTCTATACTTATAGAAGGAAATTTCTTCCCTTTATGACGATACAGAATACGCCTGCAGTACTTCTTCGTAGCGTAAACTTACTCAGAAAATGCCAGCAGGTTTGTCGGAGTCGGCCTCAGGAAAGGGTAGTATACTTAATAACGTATCTCCAGTAACGTATTTCCAGCAGGAACGCGACCATTTTTGCTTCCTACTGCTGTGAGGCATGTAAGTAAATTACCTATTTTCCGTTTCGTTTGACAGAAAAGACCTATCTATTTTTACCTGGTATGCGCGCGCAACATGAGGCAAGTCTTTTTATTAGCTAACTAGTACAGGTGTGAAGTCTTCGTTTTGCACGCTGGATATCTCCTTGTCCTTGTTCATTGCTCGTGGTCTGACAAAAATAAAAGTACGGTTGATATTCAACTTGACAAAGCTTGACAAGTGACACTCAAAAGTAGTTTGAAATTTTCATTGATAAATACGTTGCAAAACACGCGGTTTTTCTTCTTCTCTTTTTATCCCGTGCAAATAAGGAGGATGGATTGCCATACGTAAGTTTAACAAAATTTGGTACATTTTGCCTCGTCTTGCGCAATGAGCGTTCTGTGTCTTTTTCATCTAATGAAGTTTTCGTATTATTACTTCTTTGTTGGTAAAATAGATAGGTCTACTTTCACGTGACATTCTGATAAATTATAAGAAAAAAAATAGGCATTGACAACATTGTCTCTTTTTGTTCTATGACGTCATCCTAAATATAACGTAAAAAAACATACCAGCAGACTTTCTTGGGAGGAGTCGTCTCTACGAGGGCTGCTGTGAAAAGGGATGTGCAGCAGCAGGAGTCAACACTTTGTAATATACTGGGTGTCCCTAAAGAGTGGCTCACTTTCTACTACCTTCCCTTTCAACTACGATAACAGTAATAATACAGCAAAACTAGGACGAATTTACAGTAGTGGCAACTTTCAGAAATTTCGACTGTCTTGTGGGTCTTTTAACTGGGACTCCGTTTTCGGAGATCCTGATCCTTTAAGTGCTTTCCATAATGCTCTTGCCAACCTGGTCGGCAAAGCTTTTCCTCTTCGCCGCTTAAAACCAAAGCGCAAAGATCGAAGAAAATGGCTAACACTTG